CATACATACATACATACATACATACATACATACATACATACATACATTTAATATGATAATCTTGCTGGTAGTTGCAAATATTCAAACCTCTCTATGCTCCCTGCTTAGTTTCAATAAATAACTAGTACTTTTTTGTTTTCATAATGTTTGCACTGCTAACACAGGAAAGCTCAGTTCCTTGTAAATTAGTCATATTCTGTTTCCAGAAAACTACAGTTTTTCTCTCACCCTGAATACTTAAATTTGTATAAACTCAATACCTCTTTAGTTTGAATGCAAATCCATTATTAAACATGTTTTTAAACACACAATTTAGTCTTTATTATACAAGCTTGCCTGTCCTGCTTTTCTTTCTGTCTGTACATTTACTCAATTAAATTAATTGTCTTTGCCTATTTTACCTAAGCACCTGTAAGCACTTAAGATTATATAGCTAATTAATTTTTGTAAAACGATTCCTAATGGTATCTTTTATTTCAAATAAATCCACTCAGCCCAACTATTGACTTTTTCTTCACTTTTATCACCAACCACTCACTATTTATGCTGCTTTATACACTGATAGGCCTTATGTGTGCTGGGCCTCTTATGATCTTCACTCAAAACCACCTGTCTTCTTCTTCCAGGTGTTGCTGTTGTTGTCTATAGCAGACTGGATGGTTCACTCTATGTGGCGGAGCGGCAAAGACCCAGACAGTTTTTCAATTCCTTACCTGACTGCTCTGGGTGACCTTTTAGGCACTGCCCTGCTGGCCCTAAGCTTCCACTTCTTATGGCTCATTGGAGACCAGGACAGCGATGTGGGTGACTAAAATGACTTTCAATAATTTGGAAGCAGTGACTGTCAGAATCGTGTTCCCTCTGGAAAGAACTTCTTTTATAAGGGTTTGAATGTTTTACTCCCATTTCTCACCTCCATGTACTCTTTATTTGATAAAACCAGATGCTGGTTTCAGAAACAATTTTCTTTTTTTTTCTTTTTTTTTTTTCTTTTCTTTTTTTTTTTACACATGCATTCAACTCAAGAGAGTGAGTTAGCTATCGGTAGTCTGAGTTGCATAAATTGCACCACAGCAGTTGAATGAGGTGCAGGAAAAAGAAAATGTGTGGGGCACATTTGGGAGTGCTTAAAACTGCCTTTATTGTAAGGTTAAAGTAAGTTAACTAATGCCATATTTGCAGATTTTCACTTCTAAAGCTAAGCTCTGATCTCCAGAGTATTAATTGTTTGCATCAATTGTTTTACATTCCCATAAAGACCTAATTTCGTACAGGTCAACTCTAACTCTGAATTTAAATAAAGTTGCATTACAGCAAATGTTTATTTATTTAACATTGAAAAATATAGGAAATTGAAAACAGTTGTGCTAATCCTGGCAAAACTGGACTAATATTTCTGTAAACAAGTCTGATTGAAATGATAATATTGTATTTCTCAAAATCAAACACAATCAAGTCATACGGTTTCAGATTGTACCGCCCTGCATGTATGTTTTCAACTAGATACAATTAGGTTGATGATATATTTTTCAAATTCTGCTATTACATCTGAAATGAGATATGTCATTGCACTATTAAGCTATGGAAATGTTGATAGATATTCAGCCCCTTTAATGCCAATAAATGTTATGTCTTCACTCCCTGAAGCATTTGCAAGCAGTCACTCTGCACAAATCATAATTATCCTTTCTTTATAACCTCCACACCTCTGACAATATAATTTAGATAACTTAACATCATTTAGATAACTAACTTTTAGATAAATGCCACATTTTTGCTGAAAATGTGGCATAAGTTTTTTAAGTGTTTACCAAGTCTTCTTTGTCACGACAACCGATTTGTACATCCATTATCCGATGGAGGTATATGCTTTATAAAAGTTCAACTAGCATAAGCGCTTAGTAAATCACATCTCGGTAACGTTTAACACATAATGCATTTATTATGGATGAGTTTTATTGAAAGCTTTCAAGAAAAATGAGCCAGCTTGAATGCTGCTCCTCCTAGATAGAAATGGGAGACTTTGTTGTGCATGAAAACACATACACCAATAAGCTTTATCCTAAAATTTTGTAGGATGTGATGTATGTTGGAATATAGCCAGTGGCTCTTTTCAACTTCAGTCAGTGCCTCTTGAGATTTCCTGGAAATGGTTCATTTCTTTCTCATTCATTAATTCAATTTGATTTGTGTTTGTACTGCTATGCAATAATTTTTTGCCCTGTTTTCTTTCTTTTTATATTATTCATGCTGAAATGACACACATTATATTAATTGCTGACACTTTGAAGGGAGATCCTTTGGTGTAGATTTTTACATGGATTTCAATCCTTAATTTACTTTTCTGGCTCATATTTCTGGCTCATATGTCAAAATGTCTAAATAAATGTAATCGACAAAAACTTCTCGGGTTATTTTGAAGGGAATGTTAAAGGTCTTGGACGCCCTCAATCTGTCTACATCACTGTATTGGTTTTTCTCCATCGTGGCATTTTGATTAAGTTTAAGTACTCATTGAGGAGCCATGATTAAAACGGTCTTTCCACAATTTGCCGAAAATTAACTGTTAGATAGACGACTTAGACCTAGTCTGACCAATAACATGTTCTCTGATAGTCACTATGACAACATGATGAGGTAATTGCTATACGTTTATCTTAACACGTTTTTGGAAAATGTATCCATATTCTACACTGCTTATTCCCAACACAGTCGTGGGAGGCTGGAACCTATCCCAAGTCACAACAGGTGAGAAGCGAGGTAGATCCTTGACATGTCGCCTGTCCATCGCAGGGCCTATTCATATATTTAGATAGATAGAGAGACTGATATGGAAGTAAATATGTGCCATCAGAATTTGAATAAAAAATAACTCAGAAATTTGAATGTTGTATATTAGTGCTTACTTTTTCAGTATTAAAATAAATTCAGAATGTATTTTTAACCTAAAAAAAATTCAATGTCATTATTTGTACATTAGAAAAAAAATTCAGTGTCATTTTTTTTACATGGTTGCAATTTTCAGTTAAAAAAATTCACATTCCTATTTCAAAGTGATCAAATTTTCAATAT